ACTAGTGTAGCTCACTCCTTACTTAACCATTTCATATCAGGAAGACGTGGTTCCCGAGCCCGTTCTGCAGGAAAACGGCGAAGGGGATGCCTAAAGATCCCATAGTTATAATTGTAGTTCTTACTTTCGAGCATTTATTTTAATTAGTTTATTCTCTCATTTGTTGAACACGTTTTGGTACTGCGTAAGGGATGTTAATTGCAATGTTTAATACGCTTCCGCAAATTCAGATTATTTATCTATATATATGCCTTTCCAATATTAAATTTTTCTGGGGCTGTTACAGTCCGTGCGCGCGGGAACGGATCTGGGCCGTCCGATTGCGCGCACGCGGATCGCCCACGTGGCCTGTCCCATGTCAGCGCTTTCTTGCCACGCAGTGTATCCTGGTTGGCCGGGGCTGTTGACCGGGCCGTTGATGTGGCTGCTGACGTGGGTGTTGACGTAGTACAACTTTTCTAAATTGCGTTTTGACCCCCGGTTTCCGATTTTCTTTTCAAAAATACCCCCATAATCCAAATTTTCACCCCTTTTTTCCAAAATCAATTTCAATTAAATACAAATAATATTTTTACCCAATTTTATCATTATTATTATTTTTATTTTCATTAAATTAAATTAAATTAAATCAAATTAAATTAATTAAAAATCTAAAAAATTCAAATAAATAAAAATAAAAATAAAAATAGTAAGATAAAAATTAAATTACTTGGGTGTTACAGTTCCCAACAACCCAACACTTAAAAAACACACAGGTGCATGATATAGAAAAGAAAATCAATTTTCAGAAATTTATGGAAAATCCAGATCAATTACACCATGAATGGGTACATAAACTATTAGGGTCCCAACTGATGAATCTAATTAAGGGTTGATTGACATAGAAATCAGTAGGAAATGGAGGTTTTTCTTCCTTTTCCTATCTTGAATCTAATTTAAAGCCTCATTAAGAGAAAACTCCATGGTCTCTTGAGTAAGAAACTACTCAAAACTTTCATAAAATTCTTCATGCCTAATATATCAAAAGAGACAGCAATCTGTCTTCTTCCTTCTCTAGTACATTGCACCGTTGATAAACCTTAACATAAACATTTCCCTAATTAGTGCCTACATTTCATTCTGTTTGCTCAAGATTTCATTGGCATATACATTCCCAATTCATCCACCACCATTTCATCATCTTTTCTATTCTTTTGATCCTCAATAACTGGGAAACGATTCAACACAGAAACATGGAGCAGTTGATAGTCTACCAAAATCTCGTGGCATGATTAGCAAGATTCAAGCCTCTGATCCAGACAAGGAGATGCATATTGTGAAACCAGGTTTGAATAAATTAACTACTATACAGTCTCATATAATATGGATGTGAGTTTTCTTGCTCGAATGATCTCAAAAACAAATATCACTTCCAAATTTAGCATGTACGCAGTACATAGCCAAGTTCCTATACATCATAAACATTATTCAATTTTGAGGTCATAACAAATATAGCCTAATTCAATTAATTTCATCTCATTTAAATAATAAACTTACTTGCTCCTTAATTTCCCATATCTTTGCCGCTCCTCTCCCTCTCCCGAAGCGACTTTCTCCTTCCTGAAACTCCTCTTCGCGCTCCATCTCGTTTCTCTCAAATCTCATCTATAGCCTCATCGCTCCTCAATTCCACCTCATTTCCGGGCCTTTCCCTACTCTGTTTCTCCAATAGCTGTTGCTAAAGCTGAGCTTGCAGGTCGCGCATGGTCGTCCTTGCTCTGATTTCATCACGAAAAGCTGTCTACTTTCTCCTCGTCCTAAACACAAAAAACTCTGCCTCTCCCTCTGCTCGCGTCTCTCTCTTGTCCTTTAGCCTCTTTCGAACGGAGGAAGATGGTATCTTCGTTTCTGGCACTCGGAGCCTTAGAACTTGCAAGAAAAGTGAGTTTGCTAATGTAGAAAACCAGAAGAGTGAAGCACTTCAGAATGGCGGCGTTTATAGGGTTCAGCCCAGTCGTTGGGCTTGTTCTCCGCCTTTGTCTTGGGTTCGGAATTGGGCTTGGTCTTGGGCCTGGAATTGGGTGGTTTTGGGCCTGAACTTGGGCTTGAGATTAGGCTTGGAATAAGAATTGGGCTTGGCCTTGGACTTGGTTCTGACCTTGGACTTAGGCTTGGGCTTGAGCTTGCTCTTGGGCTTGGACTTGCTCGTAGGAGCTTGCGCTTGGGTTTGGACTGGGCTTGGGCTTGTGATTGGGGTTGAGTTTTGTTTCTGGGCAATATATTGAAATGGAAACGTATTGGGTTTTAATAGATTTATTTATTTATTTAGTAGAAACGTAATATGTGTACACACACACACACACACACATACATATATGTATATATCTTTGTTGTAGAAGGGATTTAAGAGAACGGATATTGTGAGGTAAAATGGTGGGGGGAGGGTTTATTAGGTAAAAATAAAAATTAGTTTGAGCAGTTAAACATTAATATTTATAACTATTTTTTTTAATTTTTATTATTATAGTTCATTTAAATCGAAAAATGAAATTTACCTCCAGAATAATTATTTTATTATATTTTTTTTTTGTCTTTTTTTAATATAAAACAACTATAAATATTAATATAATCGACTTTTACTGACTTATAAGATTTTACCAAGTATTTAATGTGGTACAAAATGTATTATTCATTATCACTATTCTTACTCTTGAACTTGTACTCTCTCGCCTAATTTTATAACATTATTATTAAAAATAATAAAATATTAAAAGAAATTTTGATTGGATTTCTTCAAGAAAACTTGGGGTAATCAAGCCTCATTGGACCCATTAACTTAAAATTATATTTGACCAAAGTATAAAAAAAGTTACTAATATTATTTAAATATAAAACAAGAATTATTTGAAAATACTTGGTTCAAATATAACATAAGTTAACAAGTCAATGTTAAATTTCACTCGAAGACTAAATCATATAAGTTTGAGTCACTTGAAATATCATTCAAATAATTATTTGAATGATTTAACACAAGTTGTTACTCTCTAGACCACTTGGAATGTACAAAGCACCATTTAAAGTATGTGAGACAAATTGCAAAGAATTACTTGAAATACTTAAGATAAAAATATTTCTTTTTTAATACGCTCGTTTATAATGTACAAAAGGTCATTTGAAACATTTGAAACAAGTTATTTCTCTTGATGAGGTACATCAATACATAAAGTAATTATCTCAATAAAAAGAACTTGAAGATAATTATTTTAAATTAAATATTTACTCTAAATTTGTTTAAAGCTAAATAAATAATAAAAAAAATTATATTTATTACGACGATAAAATAGAAGAGATAATTGAAAGAATATAAGAAATAATTAAACGAATATGACGTATTTTATTATATTTATATTACTATAAAAGTAATAGTAATTTTTTTAAAAATATAAAGATTTTGATTATCGAATAAAAATGAAGAGTATAATACAATATAATAGTTTGTAGATAAAGATAAATTTTGCGGAAAGCTAAATTTTAAATACTGACCTTAATATATTTAAATAAAAGAGAGTTCGGAGAATGAATAAAATTTAAGTTTTTTTTTTTTTTTAAATGATAGTGTTATTATAAACTTGAGTGCATGACATTAATTTATAATTATTATCTTGTAATTTTTTAAATTATTACTTTTTAAAAAATGCCAATATTTAAAATTAAAATATATTATTTATAATTAATATTATAAATTTTACCTTATTCTCATTTTCTGAAAAAAAAAAAGAAATTAACAGATTAGAGGCCTCCAAAAACAATGACAAATAAAGAAATTAAATAATTTATAAATGTTAAACTTTTTCATTTTTATTATCTGTCAATTATTTTCTACATGTAAATTCTCACTTACTTTTTCTTACTTTATCTTTTGCCATCTTACTTCACTCAAACACTATACAACTTTGTATTATTCTAACTCTCATGGCCAATTCTAATATAATATAAAGTTTAACAATGTTTATAATTAATAGCTAAATAACTTCCCCATCCAAATCTACATCATAAATAATAGGTTTTAAAATGATAGATTCTTTTTTTTTTAAATATATATTGTATATATTTTAATTTATTATAACTATTATAATTAAAAAAATTAATTATTATAAAATATTTTTTTAATATAAAAATATAATTGATTAATTGAAAGTTTATCTAATTCAATTTAATCATTGCAGTCCGACAAATAATAGTGAATTAAAGACTTAGTTCTACTGTAATCTTACTATTATCTTATAATATTTTTATAATATGATAATTTTTATATTTTTAATATATTAAAACTCAGTAACTTTAAAATATAATATAAAATTTTTATTTACTTAAACTAATTAGTTAAATTTATATTTTTTTTGGGGAGAAGAATATCAGTTGTATAATCAAAATATGTATATGGCAATAAGCCGAAGTAAATTAATTAATTAAAAACATTATATTAGCAAGAGCCTCTTAATTAAATCATAAGAATTATGATGCTTCATTATCAATATGTTGTGTCCCTTCTCTCTCTGAGTAGAACCTTAAGGCCACCCTTAAGAGTAGCAGTAAGGCCAGGATCAAACCTTAATGCACCCTTTGGTTCAACAACTTCAATCTCAACTTACTGGCTATACATACACCCACCATTTTCATCTCCATCAATGCCAATTCCGTCGCCAAACATGTCCGAACCCC